CTGGGTAAGATGGAGGGTCAGAGAAAAAGAGGAAGACCCCCAATGAGATGGATCAACCAGGTGGCATCATTGATGGCATCAAGTGTGGCAGCAGTGGTGGGGTTGGCCCAGGATCGGACATTGTTTCACTCTGCTGTGCACGGGGTCGCTATGAGTCGATTCTGACTCGATGGCACCTGACAACAACAATACATGGCAAAAATACAATATCAAACATTACAAAAATTGCACAAACAATAAAAGACCAAATAGATGATTGGGACCTCCTTAAAAATTAGAACTGGACATTGTTTCATTCTGTTGCACATAGGGTGGCAATGAGTCGGTACCGACTCGATGGCACCTAACAACAACAACAAAAAAAATTAGGAACTTTTGTGCATCAAAGAGTTTGTCAAAAAAACAAAGAGGGAATCCACAGTCTGGGACAAAGTTTTTTACAATGACATATCAGACAAGGGACTAATATCTAAAATGTATAGCTAACTATAATACAAGAAAAAGACCAACAACCCAATTTAAAAATGGGCACAGGGCATGAACAGACATTTCACCAAGGAAGACATCCAGGCAGCCAACAAATGCATGAAGAAATGTCCACAATCATTGTTGTTAAGTGCTGTTGAGTCAGTTCCGACTCATAGAGACCCTGTGCAGGGAGGGTTTCTGAGGAGTGGCTGGAGATTTGAACTGCTGACCTTGTAGTTCAAACTGGCCTTACCATTAGAGAGATGTAAATCAAAACAACAATGAGATATCATCTCACACCAGCAATAACAGTGAAATTCAAAAAAGTAGAAAACAACAAAAGCTGGCAAAGGTGTAGAGAGACTAGGACCCTCCTACATTGCTGGTGGGACTATAAAATGGTTCAATACCTCTGGAAAACAGTATGGTGCCTCTTCAGAAAATTGGCAATAGAAATACCTTATGATCCAGCAATCCCTCTAGTTAGTATATATCCAAAAAAAACATGAGCTGGGACATGAGTAGATATATACACACTGATACTCATCGCAGCACTATTCACAATAGCAAAAAGATGGAGACAGCCTAAGTGCCCATCAATGGAAGAATGGATAAACAAACTTTGGTGCATTCACACTATGCAACCTTGAAGAATAAAGATGAATCTGCAAAACACCTCACAACATGGATGAACCTCAAAGATATGCTGAGTGAAATTAGTCAATCACAAAAGGGCAAATATTGTATGAGACCATTATTGTAAAAGTTTAAGAAAAATTTTCCATACTAAAATAAACATTCTTTGATTGTTTTTAGGGGTGGTAGGGAAAGGAGAGTAATTCACTGAATAGAGGACAGACACATGTTAGCTCGGGTAATACACAAGAAAAGGGAGGGTGACAGACGAACAGTGAAGACAGGGAAAGATTTAGGGAAGTATGTGTGGGCCAAATGGGATAGAGGTAAAAGGTGATTTATATACAACCTTGGAACAACAGCATTCTGTGAGTTGATACATGGATCGAGATACAGGCTGAATGGGTAAATGAGAGGGAAAATGTTTATGTGTTTGACTGTCTTATGGCTATTGGTTTCCCCTGCCTTCTATTGTAAAAAAGACATTTATGTGTGATAGAAATGAATATTGGGAATTATGATGAACAACGTTTGTAAGCCCGCCTTCAGCCTATAACTGATTGGGTTTGCTAAAAGGTGAGGTAGAATTTGCCCAGGGAAATAGTCATCTTGTTCAGCCTTTGTAGAATATGGGGCCTTAGGTGGAATCCTGAACTCTAACCTTCTGAGTTGGGATATTCCTACTTGAAAAGACATGCAGGCCAACCTAGAACTGCTGGGAGAAAGGAAGGTTCTTTTGAAAGAAAGACTTGCAGAAAAAACACACCATACTGTTTGGCTGTTTAAATTTTAAGGAAGCTGTTTGCTTTGTAGGCAACAAGGCAGAAAATTCAGCCCATCAGGGAAAACTACCTTCTAGGAGTGAAACTTAAAGGGAACCCATGATCAGTCTAGTATGCTCGCTGGTGACCACCTGGGTCTACTTGTGAGTAGAAGCAGGGGAAATTCAGCAATGAAGACATGGGCTGAGTTCGATCATGTTCCAACAGTACCTTGAGGCAAGAGACAGAAGAGGAAGGACTCCTGAGCTCATAAACACTGACTATGCTCTTGGGGCTAGGATTTAGAGTGAAGTGGTCAGCTGGTTTGAAATGCAGGGAGATGTGTGTTAACCCCAAACTTGCAGCTACTACCCATTTGACCTAGCCTGCAAGGTTGACCAGAACTCGAACCGAAGAAGATAAAGAGGTTTGATTCTGTGAACAAGTGCAAATTGCTACAATTTGATGAACTAGAGTTTTGCTTATGAATGCAGTGCCTCAAAATTCCAACTGGAATGGAAGGATTCTTGTGTTCTCAAGAGCATGCTTGTGTCCTCAGTGTACTGGGTTGATCGGGACAAGAAATTTAGAAATTGGCTATCACAAATTGGCATGAAGTGGCTGGCTTACAAGCTTTCATGAGTTTGCTTAGTTTCAAAATGAGGTAGGTAAGGTAGACTCCCTACTGAATAGTTTCCCTTTTTTCCAGATGGATCTGGTGAAAGGGAATGGGGTACGACAGTGATAGGATTTTACAACCCAATTGTGAGCAATTGTTAGCAGGATTAATTGTGATTGTCACAACTTTAATTGTAGAAGATGTATAACTGAAAATGGGGAGTAGTTGAATAGAAGATCCCAGAACCATCAAGAAGGAAGAGCATGAGTGGAGTGTGAGAGCCCTAGCTAGAAAAGCAGGGAGAGCAGAGATGGTGGTGGTAATGAGGGAGGGCATGGAGAGACCAAGCAGTTTTAGGATCTAACCCCTTGGACTGAGAAAGGCTGTGTGCCTGTGGGCAGGGGGCTGGCTGACAGAATGGGCCCTTTGGGCATTTAAATGAATATCTATTTTTTGTTTCGTAAGTGTACATCCAGTATTTTTACTTTGCTCATTTGTGAAATATATAAGATATAAATAGGAGGAAGTAGGATAAATGTTGTAGGAAGGGGATTGTAATGAAACAAAGTGTAAAATTTGCTGAACGTAAAGCTGATGATCTTGTTTGTAAATCTTCACCCAATTCACAATAAAAAGTTAAAAACAAAATTGAACCTCACCCATTTGCAGGTTCTTAGAAGGAATCAGGTATCCTTTGAGCTTAAGTTGGTCTTGATACTTAATAACAAAACCAGTGTACCATATATACACTGTCCTTCACATGTACCTCTGGGTTGTACCAATAAAATTTTGCCCCTGAAGGAGTTTTGTGCTTAGAAATCTTGCCTCCAAGACTTACTGGTCAAGAGTGATCACATCTTGGTGGCCTCTGTACTGCCGAGCCAGGCGTAAGGCTAAGTCATTGGCTTCAGATCTATTAAGATAACACACAAAAGAGGGGACATGTGACATAAAATCATTAAAAAATTTTTTCAAGGTGTTAATTTCCAAAGTTGTAATAAGAGTATTCAGAAAGGTGGAAAGTAATAAGTTGCATTACTCCCCTTCTTCTTGAATCTCCCTGTACTCTCATGGTACAATCTCAGTTCAGCCTTCAAATAATTTACTTAGCTATTTTCAATAAAATATGAGATATAAAGAAGCAACCTAATAAGAATTAATATACTTTCCATTTCAAACGCTAGCCTAATCCAAATAACTGACTAACTTTGAGGGCAATAAGAAGCTTGTATTAGCCTGATCTCAATGAGAGGACTGGAGGGCCCATAAGCTTGGCTAGTAATCTATGTTGTATCGATCCAATGTTTGATTAGTTTCCTTATTGATAAAATGAAATGTTCAGTGAGTTTAAATATACTACACAGAGGAAAGAAATAAATATTTTTGGAATGTTAGCTCTATGCCAGATATTCTGCTGAGTATTTTACCTGTATTTATTCTTATAACCACTCTGCAAGGCAAATATTACAACCTCTTTTAAATGGATGAGGAAAGAGCCTAAGGTTAAGTGACTGGAATAAGGTTTCACAGCTAATAAGAAGTAAAGCCAGGCTTCAGACTTGGTCTTGTCTGACACTGAGGACCAAATTCTATCTACTAGTTCAGGCTCTGCCCCCTATACTCTTTGGGAACGTTGCAGTTTGGAACTAATCACTTTGCCAATATAGGATTCTTCAGAAATAAAAGTAAAATATTGTGATATTTCATTAACTGAAGACAAGACTATAACAAGTTAGATGCTAATTATAAAGTAAAATTAGTTATAAATTAGGTTTCTCTAAATAGTTCATTGAAAAGAGAATATTAAATCAATCAAACAGGTATAGAATTTCTTATAGTTAATTTTAAATATGTGCTTATTTATACTCTATATATACAGCTTTCTCTTCCAATATGATGTTACATTGTAAGCTTTTTTACATCATTTGGTAACATATATTTTTTTTTATTGTCTGCATAATATCCCATAGATGGATAATAATTTGGCTTTACAGTATATAAAAATTAGAATATATCTATTCACTTGAATTTCTTCCTTTTTTTTTCAAAAGGATGATAGGCTCCATTGTCTTAAAAAACATCAAATCTTACTAAGTTACAGTTTGTTTAGTAGATTTCTTTGCTAAATTTCTCATTTATACTTTGAAAGAGTAATCTGGGTCCACCGAACTTCTAGCTACTTACTCTAATGCCCAAAGAAATAAACAGCCTTTTCTTACGTGGACACCAGACTTGAACATTTTTGCTATGGTTACTACATAAGTATCTATTTATCCTCCAGGAAAACTGAAGGGGATGTCTCCCCATCTTCCACCGAGTAAACGATAGTAATGAAAAGTTGGTAACATATACCACTTTAATCATCAGATTCTTGTTATAATCTTGTTCAAAAGCCTTAGAACCTACTATCTGGTGTCCTGATTTATAGTCTCACCTAGTAAAGTAGAGGAACCAGAAAGATCAACTCCCTAATGTGTGATCACTTAGAAAATGGCGAACAACTCAGGAAACCTTTTCAGATATCTGTATTCCCCCCAGGAATTAAAAAGAAAGCTATATGTGAGACAGAAGAAAATGAGATGGGTGGGACTGGGGGTTTGTTGGGTAACCCAGGAGCATACCCTGAATTTGTAAAATAGCAAACAGAGAGTTTCTCTGGCAAGGTTGCTGAAAGGCGCTTGGCATACTCGACAATGCTGTCATGGAGAAACCGAGAGTTCGTATTTAGCAGTTCCATCTGTTTCATGGCAGCTTTGACCACTTCAGGGTGACAATGTCCCACTAAAATTTAGGAGACAAAAGTCCAAGAAATAAGTTACAACTCTAAGTGCCTAGGAAATGAGGGGAATTCTGAAGCCTCAATGAAAGTTAAAAAAAAAAAAAAAAAGCTTCTTTTGCGCATCGCATCCACTGTCATTCTTGGGGCAAGTCTGCCTTACCCCATAGAAGTTTCCTTCAAAGCACAGCCTGGATGAGACACTTACCATGGGCAACATTGTTGATGCAGTCCAAGTACTGTTCACCTTTCTCATCAAACATATACTGCCTCTGGGCTCGTACTATTTTGATGGGATCCGCAGCAAAGAAAACTTTACATGAGGGCCTAGAAATAATGAAAGGAAACATTATGGTTCAGTAGGACTGCTCAGTACTTTTCCTTCTCATTGAAGGTCACCAACAGTGGAAAATTATAATTACATAAAGGATAGGGAAAACACAACCTGGGAGATATGCTTTTTTCTCCCTCCTATTTCATGTCAACCTGGACCTACTTAATGCCACATTCATGATACTGTTCAAATTTCTTATGTTTGATCGATTAGATACCATGATTTGACAACACTATTTAGAGATATACAAATCAACTTAATGGCAGCTCTAATCTCACACATCAATAATTTTTCTCTAAGAAATCTTGTTGTATTAGGGAAAACACACACACATCTTTTTTTTTTTTTTTGACAGTCAAGCATCTTAACATTATTTTCCCCTTTTCCCCATTCCAACCATGTCTCAATCTCTGTATCCCAAAGCCCTGTCGTTCCAAGGTTGTGCATACATCATTATTTATCTCTGTCCCGCTTAGCCCATGCAAACCTGCCTAATTGTTCTCCCATCTGCTTTGTTCTTCCATTCACCTCTCCCTTCTTATATATTGTCCCCCTCCCCAGCACCCAAACTATCCTGTGTCTATTCCCTGCCCTATGCGCCACCTTCCCCTCCCTTCCCTCCCTCCCCACCCCCACATCCCAGCAACCAGCAAAGAATCCACCCCCCTTTAGTATGGGTTCATTATCTTCGTCTTTTACAGTAGTGGTCCTATGCAATATTTCTCCTTTTGTGACTAATTTCACTCAAGGTTCATCCATGTTAAGAGGTGGCTTGCAGCTTCCTTGTTATTTTTCAAGGTAGCATAGTATTCCATTGTGTGTATGTACCACAGTTTGTTTATCCAGTCTCTTCAGTTGATGAGCACTTTGGCTGACTCCATCTTTTTGCTATTGTAAATAGTACGTGACTTTAAAAAAAAAAAAACACTTTTTTTTAAAAAGTCATCCTATGGGTCAGGAATTGTGTTAAGGCATTTAACAAAAATTATCTCATTTAATCCTCCTAACAATCCTATGAAATATAGGGTTATCATCATTCTAAGTTTCAGAAAGGTAAAGAAACAATTACATAGTAAGTTACATAGTACTTACACAGTAACTGAGAAAATGAAAATCGAAACTAGGCTATTTTATGTCATTGTTCATGCTATTTTTTCTTTATTTCCTCTTGCTGCCATAATTTCATATGTAAAGAAATTAATAACTCTAAAAGCCGAATTTATAAAGAAATGGCTAGCTCTACTACCTAAATGGTGTCTTAGTACGGCGCTGTAGAATAATGCACTAGACGGAAAGATTGGTTTGAACTCCAAGGTTGGCAGTTCAAACTCACCAGCTGCTCCTTTAAAATCCTTGACTGCACTTACCAACGACAACTACTTAAGTATAAAATATGTACAAACAAAGGGGATTTTTCAGGAGACCATTTTCATGTATTTGGATGGCACTCATATGTGTCAAAGGAACCCTGTAGTGTGTTGTTTGCCATCAAGTCGGTTCTGACCCATAGTGACCCTGTATAGGGTTTCCAATGAGCGCTGGTGAGCTTGAACCACCTACTTTGCAGTTCAAATGACTTTGCAGTCCGATGCACCACACCATTTCCATGTATTTGGAAGGTAACTCATTCTTGTCAAAGGAGCCTTGCAGTATAGTAGGTTACAATCTGGAATGCTAACTGTAGGGTCAGCAGTTTGAAACTACCAGTTATTCCTCGGGAGAAAGATGACACTTTCTGCTCCCATAAATATTTACAACCTTGAAAACCCTATACCAGGTTGATATGAATTGGAACCAAGTCAGTGGCACACCACCACCACCATCCTATCTCAGTTGGATTTTTCATTCTGAAACAACGAAATTCAGTTATTCTTCTAAATTTATAATCCACTCTTTTGAGCAAAATAAAAGTCATTCATGTTTTTAGTAATTTGGATGAATATAGACAGTGTACATTTTAGCAATGTAGAAACGTCACTATGATTTCTGGTTTGGGGTCTATGGACATTTAAGAACTACAACTGAATATAATATGTTCTTATTTCCCTTTGTGTGTGTGTGTGTGTGTGTGTGTGTGTGTGTGTGATTTGAGTGGAAAACTTACAGAACAAACTGGTTTTCCATTCAACAATTTAATTCAACAATTCTAAATCCTGCAGGATTGAGAGAGATTCAACTCTAGTTTCCTAACCTAGCCAGCATATGAGAAATTGCCCAGCATTTCTTTGGTCCTAGGATATGATTCTTTGCTTTCCCTGACCCCAGTGCTTTTTCATGTTTGCCTCTGTCTTGCTGCAGCTCTGTAATTATTACATGTAAATATTGGGTGTTTGTGTGGCGCTGTAGGACAAGCACTGGATTGCTAACTGCAAGGTCTGTGGTTCAAACCCATAAGCACCCTTTGGAAATTCTACACAGGGTCGCTATGAATCAGAACTGACTGGACTGCACTTAACAACACGGATCGCCTAATGGCCACAATCATTGTCTATATTTAAGTGCCTTTAAAGTAAAAACAAATCACAAAGCACTAATATACTTATTACTTTCATTTGCTCCCTCCTGTGAAGTACAATGCTAGTCCTACTTTCCCAGTAGAGGAAATTAACGGAATTTGACAGTGATCACACATGTAATAAAACACCGAACTAGGGCCAGAGCCCAAGTTTGAGCTTGATGTTCAATCCGTCTGCTCACCAGTATATTACCAAGCAGTTAATAACATCGGCAAATCAAAAATAGATTGGAGAAAAGATTCCGTTTTGTAATTGAATGACTTAGCTGGGGAGACCAAGCTTTCAAAGTTTTCCTACTAGCTGGTTTAACCTTTTACCCCTTAACCAAGTATACGAGAAGAAAAATTCACTTTAAAACAAAACATTGTCATTAGTAGTTTCCTTTCACAGCCGTCATCAAAAATAATCCTGGGGTCATAGTTTTCAAAAACTTTTGGAGTTGAGTGGGGGTGAAAGTGAGCTATCATTCTTCCTCCCAGCGCTCATCCTTAGACTCATTAATATTTTCCTCTAAGGCTATTAATTACTCTCATAGATCAATTCCTCCAACCAGCCAGCAGTCCCCATTTATATGCGGACTGCAGAGCATTCTGACCGCACTCGACCCCACTTGCGAAGTGTATTTCTGAGATACCGAAACCGCCAAGTCGAAACCCAGAGGCCACAGCAGCTACGCTCACCACCTAGCGCGCTGAATCCGCCGCCCAGGTGGTGGGATCAGCGGAAACACAGCCTGGCGCGCAGAGCCCGTGGCGCGTGCGCTCAAGTCCAGGAGGAAAATCGCAGCACCCCGCGAGCAACCGCCTCCTCCAAGCTCTGGTGCATTCAGTCTCTTGCTATCTCGCTTTAGATCCCGGACTCTCAGCACTCGTCAGCCACAGCTCCTGCGATTCTCCCCGCAGATCCCTTACCCTATGTGCTTCTTCCTCAGCGCCAGGGTATCTTGCTTACTGTACAGTTCGCACATGGTGGTGAGACGGCCAGGCGCTCCGAGGGATCTCCCTTCTCTTCGTCAGTGCGTCACCCTTTGCAAGCCTAGGGCCGGCTTCAGCAGCCTGGTCTTTCCTCTCGTTGGGCCGCCTTGGTCTGAACGTGGGAGGTCAATGGTGGCATCCACCAGCTAGGGTCATCTACCTTTTATGTCTTGCCCTGCTTTTGCCCTTCGCCAAGTCCCTCCCTTCTCCTCCCCTCCTCCGCCCTGTGCCTGCTTGGCAAGTCACTAAACTAGCCACTCATTCGCCAACCACCCCCTGCCCTAGTCTAACTGGCTCCTGTCCCCTGCCCTGCCATTGCCCATTTGCCCTCCCATATTGTTATTTCTTTTTAACTCCCCTTTTATTTTCCTTACTTTGCCTTCCTGTCACCTTCCTCCTCTCCCTGTGAATATACTCTTTCCCATTTTGTTTTTCTTTTTTGGTATATCCAACTATTTTTACTGTAAAACATTCAAAGATAAGCGTTCCCTGAGATATCAGAACGCACCATTTTTCTCCATTCGTCCACTGAACATGTTACAATAACACATTATGTTATTGCTGTTAAGTACCCAGGAGTCGGTTCCGACTCATAGTGACCCTGCACGGGGTTCTGAGGCTGTAAATCTTTATGCGAGCAGAATGCCTCATCTTTCTCCCGTGGAACCGCTGGGAGTTTCCAACTGGTGACCTTGCGGTTGGCAGTCCAACTCTTAACCACTACGCTACTAGACTTCCTTAGTAACACATTATAAATACCATTTCTTCTCAACAAGTCACAGTTGCTATAGTATAAAGAACAGGGACTCAGCCACTTGCCTGGTTGGGGGTGATGATGTATAAAGTTTCAAACATCAAACCCAAACTCATTGCCTTGAAATTGAGTCTAACTCTTAACAATCTGACAGAACTGAGTAAAACTGCCCCATACTGTTTCCAAAGAAACATAATCTTTAGGGAAGCAGACATGCTTCTGGGGAGGGGCTGGTGCGTTCAAGATCTTGATGGATAGTAGTCCAGTGCACCACTAGGGCTAGTCTTCCAAACACACATCTACTTTATTAACAACTATTCTAATTTTTCTGACATGACTACTAGCCAAAAGATTGGTAAAGTCCCTAGGGGAGGTTCAGATTGGTGATCTGCTTCTGAGAGGTCACAGCCTTGAAAACCTTATGAAACAGTTCTACTCCAGCACATATGGCTGCTATGTGTGGGAATTGACTCCGTTGCAACTAACAATAGCAACAGATAGATTACAAAACTCAGTCACGTTACTTACTTCATTTTATTCAGTCCTCAAAACAATCCTGAAAAGTGGACTAGGGAGATATTCCATTCAACAAATGGAAAATGAGGTTGCTCCCTGTTTCATAATTACATATCTGGTAGTGAGCTTGGGACTTATTCCCAGATTTCCTGACTCCCTTTAGGATACTCTTCTCAAATGGGTCAAATTTGAAGTTATATATATGGACAGGAGGAACCCCAGTTTACTATACCATTGTATAGTTTTAAGAACTAGAGAACAGAGACCCCTCTGTTCTGTAGATGAAAACAGTGATGCAGAGGGGAAAGGTGAAGACTTATTCAAAGTAATGCAACACCTTAGCTACAGGGTTAAGACTAGATTGCTTTATTCTCTGTAATTGGAAAGGAAAGCACAGAAAGCCTAATTTGCCTACAGCAGTGTATTCCATAAATGTTTGCAAATAAGACAGCGGCTAAATAAAGAAGGTTTTAAGACAGAGAAACTAACCGAAAATACCCGTTGCCATGGATTCCAATTTTACTGACCCTATAGAACAGAGTAGAAGTGCCCCATATGGTTTCCAAGACTGGGATTTTTACCAAAGCACACTGCCACATGTTTCTACCATAGAACAGTTGATGGATTTAAACTACCAACCTTTCAGTTTTTACTGTACCACTAAGCTCCTTGTGATAACATAACCTTTGCGAAACATTAGTTGACTGATTGAATTGCTGGCTAAAAGGGAAACACATTTAAAGACTTAATACCTTCTTTTAAAAATACTTTTATTGTGAGTTGAATGAAGGTTTACAGAATAGATCATCAGTTTTACATTCTACAAATCATATACTTCAGTTAATTACAATGATTGCAATTCCCTCCATGTACTATCAGTTAACAATATTTACCTCTATTCACTTTAACTATTGCATTCTTCCTGGTGTCTTCTTCTCCCTTCATCATTTCTCTGCCAACAACCTTCTTATTGTACATTGCCTTTCTCATCACCCAGGCTAATATGTCTACCCTCTTTTGAAGATTAAAAGTTCTTACGAGTAATATGGCCCTCAAAATTGTCCAATCTAATTGTGTTGGCTAATAACTTATAAGGAGCTCTGGAAGCGTAGTGGCTATGAGTCGGGCTGCTAGCGTCAAGGTCAGCAGTTTGAAACTAGCAACCATTCCATGGGAGAAAGATGAGGCTTTCTGCTCCCATAAAGATTTATAGCCTCGGAAACCCTATACAGGGTCTCAACGGGTTGGAACTGACTCCATGGCATACAATCACCAACACCAACACCACTAACTTATATTTCAACCATTTCTTTCAGAGGAAGATACTGAGAATCATTATTTCTTTTGGAACAGTAAGTCAGTTACATAAAAAATAATTTCTCCATTGTTTAACTTATCTCATATATAATATTAACTAAGAACCAAGAATATTCTTTAAATAAAAAGCTGACATCTTAATAGCACTAAAATAAAGTTGAACAAAAACTAACAGTTACCAATGTTTTCAAAAAGCACATCACAAAGTATTTGGGGCACAATTTCTGATATACATCACTGTTGCTGTTAAGTGCAGTTGAGTTGGTTCCAATCTATAGCGACCCTGAATAGGGTTTCTGAGGATAAGCTGGTAACCTTGAACCACCGACCTTGTAGTTCAAACAGCTTTGCAGTCCGGCGTATTAATCCACAGCGCCCCACCAGGACTAGAGCATGGTTATTTAGTAGGAGAATACACTGTAGTGCTAATCCTTTTTGAAAGCTGAAGTCCACTCAATTCTGATCCTGACCCTATTGATTGACATCAGAGTGACTTCTGACCTGAAGGTCATATATTTCTCAATAATCTAGGCTTGTCCAAGCAAACTATGCTTGCGCATGACTGAACTCAGAAGGTACGGCTCACAGAAACTTGTGACAGTAAGAACTCTATTAAACAGCTCAATGTGAAGAGTCTCTGACAACTAACTGGCAGGTTTTAAATTGTCTTGTCAATGAAAAAGCATGCAAAAGTGAATGAACTGTATGCCCCCAACAACAAATATTCTCCAATTTATTATCTAATACTCAAGACAGAATGTGGGCATCTGAATAGTTCTTGGCTCTTTCCTGTTACCCTGTCCTGCCTTAACCTACCCTACCCTTCAAGAAGACCTGTTTTTTTCTGAAATTTACACATCATCCGGGACAAATACTGGGTGTGGTACCTTTCTGACATGAGACAAGATATCTAAAGAAAGTCTCTTTTGCACCAGCCAGAGCATTGCGTGAGCAGGTCAGGTCATCTGAGGAGTCCACACTGATGACTCTGATGTCAACATGTGCATACAACTGTGCACACAGTTCCTAGTTAAGGAGGAGCCTGACGGGTCAGAGCAGGCCTTCCCATCCCTGAGAGTTCAAAAACACGTCAAAGAAGCCATTAGTCCACAAGCAATATTTGTGTCCTAACTATATACATGGATATTTCCCCTTCTGTTACTCCCCACGACCAAGTTCATAAAATCTTCCAGACTTATGCTTTGTGTGGTGGTGGTGGTGGTGGTGATGGTGATTTCTGGAGACAGTGGTAAGATGACATTTCAAATAACATAGACTCTTCTTCCACCACCGTTTGTCACTTTGTTGTGTTGTGGTGGCTTATGTGTTGCTGTGATGCTGGAAGTTATACCACTGGTATTTCAAATACCAACAGGGCCAACCATGGGGCAGAGATTTCAGTCGAGTTTCTAAACTAAGACAAGCCAGGAAAAGTACATGGTGATCTACTTATAAAAACATTAGCCAAGGAAAACCCTATGGATCACAACAGATATTGTCTGATACAATACTAGAAGATGAGACCTCTAGGTTGGAAGATAGGATACAATAGTCTCAACAATGGACAAAAACAATGAAGATGGCAACATTTCGTTCTGTTATACATTAGGCCACTGTAAGTCAAGAACATACTCTATGGCAAGTAACAGGCTCTTAGCTCTTTCTGAAACCTATAGCCAGTCATATAAAAACTCAAGGAGATTATTGATACTTGATGTTGCAGAAGCAGATAAGGCTCCTGTACGTAGCTTCCATCTGCCCTAGTGAGTTTATTTATAGAGTCAAATTTCTGGATCAAAGATCAAAATATGACCTAGAGACCAAGTCTAGCTCATTACTGTTTTTAAATGACCCCGGTTTAAGTATGGTTTTCACATTTTTACATGTATTTGTTAAATTCAGTGTCCCTCAATAAATTCAGTGTTATTGGATCACAGTCATGCCTCGTTAATTTACATGGCTGATTTCAAGGAGCCCTGGTGTTGATGTGGTTAAGGGTTGGCTGCTAACCAAAAGGTAGGCAATTTCACAAAGATAGGTGTTATTGTTGTTAAGTGCTGTTGCGTCCGTTCTGACTCATAGCAACCTTGAATAGAGTTTCTGAGGAGTGGCTGGTGAGCTTGAACAGCCAACCTTGCAGTCCAGCACATTAACCTGCAAGACTAGCACCAAAGCCTTGGAAACCTGATGGAGTAAGTATTTCCACCCTGTCCTGTCAGGTCGCTATGAATTGAAATCAACTCGCCAGCAATGAATTTGTTTTGTTTTGTATGGCTACTGTTACTCTACAACAGAAGAATTGAGTGATACTTGACCAAAAAATATATTCATTAATATATTTTAGTTTCTTCACAGCATTCTTTCTTTCTTTTTTAAAAAAAGGCTTTTTATTGTGAATTGAGTGAA